CCCCCCCCCCCCCCCGTGTCAAAGCTCAGAAATCTTGTAAAGGTGCTTTTAGGCTACAGATCTCGTACTTGTTAATGTACTGGTTTGATAAATGAATAAAACCTAACTCTCCTTACATGACAACCTGTACTGAATTTAGCTTCTTCTCTAAGGGTGGGATTTCTTGTTACTTGCTTTTAATTTTCATGTAACTTGGAGGTCAAACTGGAAGAAAGGAGCTCAGCAGAAAGACTTTATTAGTCTAAAAGCATTTCTGATAGAAACATAGAGAAAAAAAACAGGAAGCATGAGAGGGAGTTCACCATGTCTCTGTGGGCTATGTGTGTGTGTTGCTGAAATATTTCATATTTTTTGTTCAATCTGCAGGAATATTTTAAATTGTGTCCTGAAAACTTCAGAGATGAGGATGTCTATGTCTGTGAGTCACGTTATTCTGCAAAGACAAAATCTTTTAAAAAGATTAAACTGTGGACTATGCCCGTAAGCTCTGTAAGATTTGTCCCACGAGATGTGCCCCTTCCTGTTGTCCGTGTTGCTTCTGTGTTTGCTAATACAGACAAAGTAGACGAGGAAAAACATGCTGAAACATTGGAGGACAGTAAGATGGGAGAAAGTATCCTTCATCTTGAAAAGGTATGTAAGATAACAGTGGTATGTAAGATAACAGGTGGAACATCAATTATGTTTGATTATGACAGATGAACAATGACAAAATATGAGCCCTCATGACTTCAGTTTCACAGCATCCAGACACAATAAAATATAAATAAATGTAATATTTGTTATAAATGATGTTATACATATTTGTAAATAAATACAAAGTATAAATAGACTAAACAGAAAATAAACTGTGTACATATTTGATGGATTCTACCAATGCTTTCTTGTGATCATGTGAAGTGGTTGGTTTTTGTTTGTTTGTGTTTTTCCACTTCAGAAAAGAAAATTACACTTTTACTGTAAAGTTTGCCTTAAGCCTAAAGAATCAGTGGAACTGAAAGTCTTCATTTTAGTTCATGGTAATGCTGAAATGCTTTATTATGTAGTATTTCAGTAAAATAGTCAGTAGCTAGGCAGCAGTAAGCAATACATAATATTCTGTTGTTTGTGACCTTATCTATGTTGATAACTGAGCAGTTTATTGCCGAAATGCTTAAGAATATTTCGGTCCAACATATTGGGTAAAATGGTGTATTTTAGAGTCATAATAGAAATAAATCTAAAATGTATTAAAATCAATTAAATTGAAATAATTTTATCTAAAATAAATTACAGACATAAAAAAATAAGCTTAGAGTTATATAATAAATCCACTTTGCATTGAATTCTCTAACAGAACCTCAAAACAGAATAGCCAGCACACTCATTGTCAGCTTTAATCAGACACTTAGTGTATGTTATTTTATTTATTCACATCATGACAAAAGAAGGAATAATTGCTACTGAGAAAATGAAAACTTGTAGGGTCTTTTCCTTCCATACCTTCCATAGCCTGTGTTTTCATTGGCTTTCTGAAATCCTGGACTAAAAGGTCAAATGAGGCACAATGAGAGTTTTGAATAAAAAAGTAAGAAGTTAAATTGAGCAAATGGTATGAATTTGGAAGCAGTACATGGAGTATTTGTATTATTGTATATGAGTTGAATCATTAAATTTCTGTGTATATTAACTTGGCCATATACTCATTTCTTGCCTCTTAAGCATGTTATTGTGCTTTAAAACAAACCATCAAAATAAGCTGACAAGGCTTGGCTTGGCCAGTTAACTTTGAAGCAGTAGAACAAAAAAGACCTGTAAATTACTGTTCTGGCAAAATTACAGCTTTGTGAAATAGGAAAGTTTGCAACATACATGGAGGGTATCTTTGACTTTGCTATTTATTTTTTAAATTTCAAGGCCCCCTCACTTTCACAGGTACAGCTCTGTTAAGTGTTTACCTATTACTGGTAATGTAAAGATAGAGCAAAGTCTTCTACTTGTACCTGGCATCTTTTTATTTATGTGTTTGGTTTTCCTTCTTCCACAAGTTTCTAAATGCATATTCTTCTGCAGGACAAAGAAGATGTTCCGGTAGAAATGTCCAATGGAGAACCTGGTTGCCATTACTTTGAACAGCTCTGCTACAATGATATGTGGCTTAAGGTTGGGGACTGTGTCTTCATAAAATCACATGGGTTAGTGCGACCTCGAGTAGGAAGGTAGGTGCAACTTCTTTATTTGCAGTTTGTGTCTGTAAAAATAACTTGGGCAAAAGATGGGTTTGTTGCAAAAAGTATAAAAGAAGATGGGGAAAAAAAATCTTCTGAATGAAGCTAAATGTTACAGGCTCTTAATAGATTGAGGTAGAAGTTTAGCCACCTAATAAGAAGGTGATACCGTTGTACAGTTGGAATGGGCTGTTCTTCTGTACTTGTTTTTTACTGACGGTCTTCCTGAACAACCTAGTGTGTCCAGCTGTCTCATTTAGGAGGGATGGCCTTTCATTTATGTCAGTGGTTTGGTTTTCTTTCCAGGATTGAAAAGATGTGGGTGCGAGATGGAGCTGCATATTTCTTTGGCCCAATCTTTATACATCCTGAAGAAACTGAACATGAACCAACTAAAATGTTCTACAAGAAGGAAGTGTTTTTGAGTAATTTGGAGGAGACCTGTCCGATGACTTGCATTTTGGGTAATTAATAACAACTTTAATGGACACTCTCTTTCTTTTCCTCTACAATCTGAAATGATTTGTAGCTATGTGTAGGCTTGATTCCAAGTATGGTTTTTTCATATTGAGTGGAGGAAGAGAGATTCTTCAGTCCATTTCTGATATGCATTCCTGTCTTTGGGACGTGTAGTGAGAATTTTCACCATAAGGAAGCTTTCTTACAATAAGGGAATTACGTGTATGATATAAAAGTAAATATTGTCTGCAGCCAGAGAACAGAAAACTCCATTATTCTTGCTTACTAATGTAATTATTCCAGTACGTGTTACCTGGAAAGTCAGTCCAGAAGGAGGTTGAAATTTGGTTTGTTGCTTAAGATGATGACTATGTATTTTGTTTTGTAGTTATGATGCTTTGCTAAATATAGTTAACTGACTAGGGATCACGGGGTTTTGTTATTTTACAGGTTTTATTGTTCTTTAAAAAATCTGGAAGTTGCATTAAGTTTGTGTAGGTTTCTCGTGGGCAGCATTATTTAATAGGGATATCGATTGGTGTATTTTCCATAGTTGAGCCAAATACCAGGAATCTTCCAGACTTACGAGACTGGCAAAAACTTGAGTTTCCACACTTTTTGTAAAATGTCTGCAAGTGTGGCTGCTTTCTTACCCAGCTCTTTCATTTCTGCAGGGAAGTGTGTGGTTCTGTCATTCAAAGACTTCCTCTCCTGCAGACCAACAGAAATCTCTGAAAACGATGTTTTTCTTTGTGAGAGCCGCTACAATGAAAGCGACAAACAAATGAAGAAATTTAAAGGGCTGAAGAGGTTTTCACTCTCTGCAAAAGTTGTAGATGACGAAATATACTATTTTAGGTAAAAATGTGATGGGAATGAGGGGTCATCTGAGCACTTTTCTGTATTGTGGTGGACTTACTCTGGTTGGCAGCTAAGCCCCCACCTAGCACTTGCTCACTCCTCCGTGGTGGGATGGGGGAGAGAATCGGAAGGACAAAAGGAAGAAAAACGCCTGGGTCAAGACAAAGACAGTTTAATAAGTGGAGCAAAGCTGCACATGCAAACAAAGCAAAATAAGGAATTAATTCACTACTTTCCATCGGCAGGCAGATGTTTAGCTGTTTCCTGGAAAGCAGGGCCTCAGCATGCGTAATGGTTACTTGGAAAGACAAACGCCATAACCCCGAATGTCCTCCCTTCCTCCTTCTTTCCCCCAGCTTTTATTGCTGAGCACGATGTCATACGGTATGGAATATCCCTTTGGGCAGTTTGGCTTAGCTGTCCTGGTTGTGTCCTCTCCCAGTTTATTGCCCACCCCCAGCCTGCTTGTTGGTGGGGGGCAGAGTGGGAAAAAGAAAAGGCCTTGGTGATGTGCCAACACTGTTCAGCAGTAACTACAACATCGATGTGTTATCAACACTGTTGTCATCACAAATCCAAAACACAGCACCATATAGGCTATGCAGAAAATTAACTTCATTCCAGCCAGACCCAGTACATACATAAAAGTCATAGTTGTAGGAGAAGGTGAATTTTGACTAATCACACTTTTGGGAAGAAGTCCAGATAACATCAGTCTTTTCATGGTCCTAATACCAATGAATGTTTTCTTTTTCTTCTCCTGACTTTAGGAGAAGTCATGACATTATCAGATTGGTAAATTCTCTTGGATGTCATTAAAATTCTTAAGTCCTCATTATGGGTAACAAATACCTTTCCAGTTGGTGAACATTGATATGAATAAAAACATTAAGTTCTAACTTCAGTAAAATGTAAAACCGAGGGAAGATGTGGTGTTATCTGCCTTCTATTGCGGAATGAAGTATTTGCTGCATTGAAATCCCCTTCTAACTCATAAAAATTAAATTAATTTTAAAAATGTCCTTCAAACAAGTGACTGAAATAAAGCACTGGCCATAAACACTGAATAATTTCTTCTCAGTGTTCTGAAAGGAAACACAGGCACCTCCTGAGTCACTATTGTTTCCATGTTGTTCAATGATAAAGGAAGAAAAGTTGGTTTTCTCTTCAAAAATATATGCTATCTCCTGTAAAGTATGAGTGTATTCTGATGTGCTTTTTATCTTCCTCCTTTACCTTTCAGAAAACCCATAGTTCCTCAGAAGGAACCATCTCCACTACTGGAAAAGAAGATTCAGCAGCTAGAAGCAAAATTTGCTGAGTTGGAAGGAGGCGATGAGGACATGGAAGAGATGGGAGAAGAGGAAGGTGATATCACTGAAACACCTTCTATGCCTCAGCTTCAGACCCCGTTAGCTAGTGACTTGGATATAATGCCTTATACTCCACCACAGGTAAGGATCTTCCTCGAGAAACCTTTAAACCTTTGTGTTCCGGATTCTTTCCCCAACCCAAATAAAGAAAGAAACGGTAACATTGTATCGTATACACAGAAAAGATTTATACTTCAGTTACAAGTCTATGGAATAAATTACACAGAACACTTTTGGCATATCCAGTATGATATCCAGGTGATAATATTTAAGTCCATTAAAATATTTTTACAGGAAATCATTCAGTTGAGGAAAATCTAGGGTACATTTTTGTATGATACATTAACATTATTTCTAATTAGTAGATTTTTTTTTATGGCACTTGTTCAGAAATATCAGGTCCTTATATTAAATATAAAGTTGAGATGTAAGGGTTTAACTGTAATTCTCAATTTACCAAAAGTCCATTTTTAAGCATTTCCTTAAATTTTGGAAAAAGCTAGCATTTGGGGTGTTATGGTTTTGCTACATTTTTAGAAAATGCTGTACATCATTCTCAAAGGAAAAAAGAAAATCACTTTTTCAGTATTGAGTTACCATTCTTACTTGGAAATAAGAACTTTTTTTAAAAGTTAGAAGAACTGGATGTCCAAGAAGCTTTAGTATTAATTTGCTGGTAAATGGATAGGAAGTAAAAGAGGAATCGTGTGTGGTTATACGCCACTTGAATGCATCGTGAGTCTTTCCTGCTGCTTAAATGGGGGACTTCTGATTCCCTCTCCTCTCTTGCTATGTTTCTTACACAACCCCTGGTATTTATGTAACTTAGTATTGAAGCAGGGTGAGGAACTGCTTTAACTGTTTGCAACTGGATTAAACCCTTTATCTGTCTCATAACATTGCCACATGCAAGCTAACGCCAGCATTAAAGAGGCAATGGGAATGACCTGCTGGGAGCAGGAGGGAGTTTCAGATGCTTTTGTAACCAGCAATATGAATTTCTGCTGCATTACATTGACTGTGAGGTGACAACCTCAATGGTAGTTGAAGAAAGGATGTGACCCCTAGATAGAAATAACTGTCTTTGGATGTAATGAAAAAGAGTTGATGACATTGAAAGCTTTAGCTTGGTTTGATTGTGATTTTTGCCACGTGGGCAGACCATCAAATGCATTTTCCTGTGCAAGGTTGTCTTGTTGCTCTTGTTTTAATGTGCTGAATTTCATAAGTAGCAAGAAAACTCTTGCAGAGTATTACAAATAGAAAGCATGTTACCAGCATTAGCCAACTAATGTAACACTTTAGGAAGAGGAAAGTAACTTTTTATAAATCAAAATATTACTATTGTTAACTATGGCAGCTGCTGAAAGCAGTTTAAATAAGTATCATTGGGCATCAAAGATATCCTCAAACTGCCTTCCGCAGCATTCACTGTCTTTTGATCTCCTTTGCTTTCTGTCTTTCTCCATAGCTGTGTCTTGCTCAGATTCCCTTGAGAAGTTTTATTTAAATACTAATATATAATACCTCTTTAAAAAGCCAGGTCTATAGTTGCATTATTTTATTTTTTAAAATTGTTTATAATGGGACAGTCTTGCAGAGCTTTCAGGATAACTGGTGAGAAGTCAGGCTCAATGGATATATCCAACATATGTGTATATACCTTTAGACAGATGTGAACTCTGAAGTCTAGAACTTGAAGTAAAAAACCAAACCAGACCAAAAATAAATAAGGAAAACTGAAAAAGATCAATAGCAATGCATGCTAAGAAGTGAATCATGATACACAAGTGCACTGGCAGATTCCTCCCACTGCTGATTTGGAAAGAAAAGGCATGTTGTGTCTGAGCTGGCATTCAGAGTACAATTTAAGGCTGGTGGAGAAGTAACTAACATATAGCACATAAATAAACTTTCTTCTTCACATAATCTGTTCTATTTATGTCCCAAGTAAAAAGTGTCTTTATAAACAGAGCTCCCAGGTAAAAGGCATGTGTTTGCTTTGTGTTCTCTTAAACATATGGAATTTTATCTAACAGCTGTTAAACCCCAGAACTTTTAAACTTTTTTTTTTTTCCTCCTGATAACAAAGAAGCTCTTACTACACCTAAGGATAGAAGAAGTCAAGACAAGTGAATACATGGTATTGTGGGGCTTGACAAATAGGTGGATGATGCTCTCCTCCTACAGTTGACTGTGAATCAAGTCTAAGCTAAAAAAGAAAATGCAATATGGCTGAGAAAAGGCATAAAAGGGGTTCATTTCTTCTCTTAACACATATAAAACTGAATATGCAGTTATCTGACTCAAATGGAAAAGATTCTGTTCATTTGAAAGTGGTTGTATCAGAGATGTAAAAGGACAGAGAATACAAGAACCAAAGGCAGAATTCTTGCAGTTTCTTAAAGTCCTGTTTGCCCTTCCAAATGGATCGATAGGCTTTTACATTACAGTACTGTTACCAAAACTGTTGCAAGCACTATAAAGGCAAAACCAGCTGATAAACCTGTAGCTATCTAAGTGCAGATGTATAAGAGGCCAAAAATATAATTAGATTTTCCTGTTTCTGAATTGAGAACTCTCCATCTGCCAATGTGGGCTTGCCTGAGAAGCCAGGATGAGGTGTATGTGCCCTGTGTGTCGTCCCAGAATCTGTGTGGAGTTTTCTTCACTTCCTCCGTCTTAGAGACAAACCTAGAAGACTTCCTCCCAAAAAACCAAGTGTTGTCTTTAGGTTCATAATGAAAACATTAAGGGTGGATTGCCATTTGAAAATTAATACAGTGAAGTTTGGGATAACATACAAGTATGCCCCAGTTTATCTAGTGCCTGGCTTAAATTGATGAGCAAGACTTTTTAAGCATCTTGGTATGGCTGAAGCTTTGCTTTTAGCTGAGAGAAAAGTGTTGAACTGTGAGGTCGAAGTGGCAAGCAGAAGGAGTTAGTAACCTGGACAGAGTTTCAGGGTAGGAAGGAAACACTTACATATATTTTTCTTTCCTTTTTTCCCTGCCAGGTATTTGGAAACTATTACACTTTTCAAGATGTGAGAAATTTGTAATGCTTGGGATATGAGAAGGGCCTTTTGAGGGTTTTGGTATGATGATACATTTGTAGGCCTTATTGATCAATGTATGGGTGAATTATGATCTCCTGTGACAAATATAGGTGGAAGGAACCTTCAAAAAGGGGGTTCCAGCTGTGGTATCTCAGCGGTTGTCAGAATAAGTTAAATTTTTTGATGGCTGGAGTCATCAAGGAGCTCTCAACAGGAACATCCGTGGTGGGAAAAGGAAAGGAGCAGAATGTTTGTTACCCATCAACATAAGGATGTGATGTGAACCTGTTGTGCAGGTAAACAGTGGGCTTTGTTTTTTTTAGGGAGAAATAGCTACTTATGTAATGAGGGGTGAACACTGGAGAGAAACGAAATTCTGGCAGGCGAAATAGAGAGCGTTTAGGGATGAGAAGAGTGGAAGTGGAGCCAGGGAGGGTAGGGATTGGAAAGGCCCAGGAAGAAATGGGAAAGCATTTCCCTAAAATGTGCAGTGGCAAATAAAATGTTTTACTCAATGTGTGCTGGCAGTGTTTCTGAAAAGCGTAATGGATGAAATCTGTGACATAACACAATTACTTTTATTCTCTTCTGGCCTTCCAAATAGTCACTTGTTTGCTAATCAGCCTTTCTTAGTCCTCTCATTCAGTTTGGAATGATTTTAGCTAATAGTAAGCATTCTGTGTTCTCTTACTGAGAATTTTTTGAAGCCTTGGTTATAAAGGTGGCATTATGTGTGGAAGGGTTGAAAAGCATCAGAACATTGTGATTTTCTTTCTTTTTTTCTTCCCCCCCCCCCCCCCTCCCCTCC